ACCCCCCCCCCCCCCCCCCCTCCAACGTTGGCAAGTATGTCTATGGTGCACTGTGGTATATGGAAAGAAGAACAACAATCAACCTAATTTAAAGGGACAGTAAGATAATACCATTCGGTAGGAAACAAACTTTGCAGACTCAGGAGTTACGCCACGATGACGGGACCTCTAAACTCAACAGATCAGTTACTTCTTTGGCTGGTCAGTGATGCCTCAAAAGCAGCTGACATCATTAGATGCCCTTATGGAATGTCAGGTATTCAGTGAATGAGAGGGGGGAAACCAAGAGTGACCATCAGGTGGTTGAAATAGCTGACGAGAGCAGAAAGGAAAAGGTGAGATGTGAGCAAAGTGTAGTAGAGCAGGTTTGAATCAATGTTGCAATCCTGACAAGTGTCCCTTTTTTATTGTGATTTTAGTGTGAAATTGAATTTTTATTTAAATTGATGTTGAATTTATTCTCTTCAGAGAGAGCGCCCAGGCTCACATAAAGTGGGCTGACCTCTCAGATAATAAGTGACGCCTCTCAGTTTTGCTCTGCTTTTACATTTTTAAAAAATATTTCTTTTAACTGTTTAAGAATTTATAACATATAATAATGACAAATACTTGCCTGGTTTTGAAAGTTACATTTCTCCTGAAAAAAAGGAGCAAAATAATTTTCAAAAAGGACATTGTCTAACAAATTTATGAAGAAAAAAGACAAAAAGACCAGGCGGACCTTCATAACTACAGGTGGTAAAGAGTTAACTGATAGAATTATTTAAAATTTGTATTGTTGGTTAACGGTTAAATATTAACCAGGGAAACGAGAACCTTTTGAAGAACTGAGGAACCAAACCTAAACCTGTGCTTCGACCGGTGAAACCAGAGGCTAAATTTAGTTCCTGTACAATAGGTCCAGGTGTAAAAGAAGTACCTGCTGTGGGGTTAGTGCTCTCTGATGGTTCAGGAAATTTTGAGGCAGAGGTTGCAGCCCCCGCCATCATTGACTGGTCAAACTTCATTCACAAAACCAGGAATTACTCCAGGATCAATATGAACCCTAACCCGAATGAACCGGTATACAGCCCACTAGTCCTGACATAGCCGAGCAGAGAACATTGCGTTTATTTTGTAGGCAAATACAGGACTCGGGAAGCTAAAGTTCTGTCTGGTGGGTGGATAATGTGTGTGTAATAAGCTGGGTGACATAACCCCTAACTGTTAATTTGGCACATTTTCTTGTTATTTTGATTTTAATAGAATTCTTCTAAGTCCAGTTAATTTGTCTTACAGTTGACCTTATTGTTGTGTCACCTGGCAGTCCTGTCTGTGATGCATGTTGCACCCACAGAAACACCTGGGAACGCTTTGCATTGGCTGATAGCTTCCCGGTGAAATGTCTGCTTAAAGTTCCTTTGAAGTACTGGAATGTTGTTTGCGGGTGTTATCTCTCTAACTGCAGTGGACTCGTGACTAACTCCACTGAAGGGGGCTAGAGTCTATCCCAGCATGCTTTGGGCAGGAGGCAGGGTACACCCTGCTCTGGCTGCCAGTCTATCACAGTGTGAACACCCATATGAACAAATGTATTCACAGAAGTTTCTGTAGCATTCATGTGAGGGCAGATTTTCATTGGGACAGGAAGAGGAAACAGATGTGTGGGTTCATGTTGAACATGTGAACAGAAATATAAAAACGTCCCAAGGAAAGCCCCTCTCAGGGTCTGGTTGCAGTCACTGTTCTTTCCTGGTATTATTCTGAATTTGGAAAGAAAACAACAGGGAAAACAAATGGGAAAATGAAAAACCTCCGCTTCTTTGCTGATCCAATCACAAGTGGGTTGAAGTGAGGTCCTTGCTTGTGCATGATTTGTTTTTTGAGGTTCACTTTACTATAGCTTACCTCTCTGGTGTAGTGTCGTTAGCCAGAGGCTCCGCACAGCACACTGTGGTAGTCCCACCGTGGGTCCAGCCCGGGCAGTCGAGCTCTATCGGCTCCTCAGCGGCATCCTGTCACCATAGTCCACTCATTTACTAATAGTGGATGGCTTCATTCTCTTGGACGGATTTAAAAAAAAAAGAAGCTAATATGGGTCCCCAAAAATAGATTGGGCGGCCTTTAATATACCTAGGCAGCCCGCCAAAGTAAAGTCCATGTGTCGGAAACACCGATGTTGCTCAGACTGCCTCTGAATGCAGTGGATCTGCTCGATGACACCTGTCATATTTGTTCATGATTATACTACAATACTACAGCATTATACCCTCAACTCCACCATGGATCACACAGGAGCCGACTGTATGAATCTGACGCACCAGCTCACATGATGTCACTAGGATCAAGGACCGACATTCTTGTAAAGTTTATTAACGTTCGCTTCCTGACTTGTGTGTGTGTGTGTGTGTGTGTGTGTGTGTGTGTGTGTGTGTGTGT